GAGGATTTGGCTTGAAGAATCTAGACAAAGATGCATGGTTCTGAGGGCGGATATTGTCTTTATTCTGAAGTTTTCGAGTAGATTTTGAAGACGCTTCAAAGATAGTTGGATGCTTTAGTTCAATATGTCTCCATAAATTGCTTGTTGTATTTTGCGATACCGGTTTAGCTTCAGGCATATATGAACAGCCTTCTTGCGTACAAGCATATTGCATCTTATTAGGAGAGCCTCTTAAGATAGTACGAGAATATAGATTCTTTGTAAAAAGAGCAGAATGAGTGACTGGTAGCTGTAGTGTTGCGGTACTGCTTTGTGGTAATGATAGCGAAGACGATGAGAATACTCCATCATTACTGTTATCTTCATAAATAACATGATCGTCAAGATCCTCAGGGGCGTCAGACAACTCGGAATCACTCATAATGATGATAATTGTAATGATTGAATGTATTAAATGTCAATCTAAAAAGCTATATATTGAGGACGACAGTAAGTCCTCACTGCTAGACGCTTGGACATCTTAAACATCGGATCATTCAAATACTTGCCGAATCATGATTCGAATCATCAAGAAATAGCCCGAATCAGATCATGAATCGAATCTGATTTGGGGTGAATCATGCCGAATCACGATTCGCTGCACACTGGTGCACTGGGATATTTATATTATTCTACTCCTAACTGCTGGACAATTCCAAGGATGTTTATGCCCTATAACTAAACTACAAAAATATCCTCTAGCAACCTCTATAATAACATATCAATTTACAAAGAAGAGTGTAGCTAACCGTTGTCGATAGATTCGCGGAATAAATAGGCCGCTCCCTGGGGCAACATGACTCAGTGGCTTAACTACCAGCCTTTCTGAGGAAGGCATGACTGATTGAAGGGAAAGAAGGACCAGATACATACCAGACTGTTAAGCATACATGTATCAACGAAGCTTGTACTGCTGCATTCAACAAATTGGACGACTTTTCCCACTTGCAACAAGCCAACGGTCAAGCCATTCAACAGTTGCAACAATATGTGATCCTCGGTTTAATTTTAGTATATTTGACTTCTATTTGCCTGAAAGCTTTTATAACACAAGCAAAGAACGAGCAAGAGCACAGTTTGCAGCTTGTTATAACAAGTATAAAACACGGGACAATGATATTCGAGCAGAGGAAATGGATGCTATGCTTGATAATGAGGATGAGGATATACCTCAAGAAGTGGACTCCGAGGATGAGATGTTTAAGCATCGAAAGCCTATACTTCAAGAGGTTGAATGGAGACGGTGGCTTAATGAGCCAGGAGTTGATAAGCCTGAGACTAATATCCTTAAATATTGGCAAGCAAAGCAGTATCAGTATCCAATAATTGCACAAATAGCTCGAGACTATTTAGCAATTCCAGCAACATCAGCAGCATCAGAACGGGTCTTTAGCCAAGGAGCTGACATTGTCACAAAGAAAAGGAATAGACTATTGCCTTCAACAATTAGATATTTACTATGTCTACGGGGTTGGGGGATAATTGTCGACGATGAGGATGTCGAAGATGAGGATGTCGAAGATGAGGATGTCGAAGATGAGGATGTCGAAGATGCAAGTGAACATATAGGTTAGGCATAGTTAAATATTTTCCATAGTTTTCAATATTCTATACTCGGTGTTCCACCCACTCGCTTTGCTCATAGGTGGCGACAGCGATCTGTGCACGCGACAGCGATATGTGCATGTACACCGCCACTTTGATACATAATCGTTGGTTCTCAAACCACCGCCTGGAGGCAGTTGGCGAAAGCGAACTGGGACGCGAAAGCGATTGTGGGACACTTCGGGAGCGGACTCACGACGCGACACGACCGACCATGAACATGACCGACAACGAGCACAACTACAACCACAACTATGCCGGTAGTTGAAGTAAATAAAAATGAAGCTCTTTTAAATGCCATTGAATTTTTAAATGAAAACCCAACAGAGAAGAGTGCTACAGTAGCACAGATGTACAGAGTAAACCCAAGTACGCTCCGGACTATACGACTACGACAACGACGCGCATCACCACAACGCACCGCTGTGCCACGCGGAGGCCAGAACAGAGTACTGTCTGATGTACAAGTTACAGCTATACAAAGATACATCCAACGCTCGTACGGAAATGGGTACGGTGCAACTAAGCCTATGGTGTTCAGTGCCATCTGCCAACTACGTGCAGCAGAAACTCCAACACGTGCACCACCATCACAACGGTGGTTCCAGACATGGATTAAGACACAACAACACAACTTCCATACAATAAAAACCCGGCCAATTGAAGCAGCACGGGTTGCATCTCATGAAGTATCAGCTATTAAAGAATGGTTTTATGAATTTAAAGATGTGTGTAATCAACTAGATATTACTGCAGGTGATATCTACAACTTTGATGAAGTTGGAGGTGAACATGTGTTGGTACCATCTGCAGTAAAGGAGGTAAGTTGTTTCTACTTATCTTACTTTATATTATTCTAATATTTATAGCTTTATATACAAGCTCCAGAGAACAGACAAAGTCTTACAGTTATAGAGACAATTTCAGCTGCTGGCATTGCACTTCCACCGTTCCTTATTATACAAGGAAAATTACACATGGAAAGTTGGTACCATGACAATCTACACGGTGATGAGAAAGTTGCAGTATCCGATTCCGGATATACAAACTCTGAGCTTGCAATGGAATATCTACAGCATTTTATTCAACATACACCGTCTATAAGAACGAAATTGTTAATAATGGACTCTCATGTCTCACATGAAGTTCCAGAGTTTATAATACTTGCACATCAACACAATATACACTTACATGTGTTTCCGTCTCATCTTACGCATATTCTACAACCGCTAGATGTTACTGTGTTTGCACAATATAAACATTGGCACCGACGTGCAATTCAACAAGCAATCCGGAATTTTGATACAGATTATAATGTTATATCTTTCTTTAGAGACTTGTCTACTATCCGTAAGCAGACATTTACAAAGGGTAACTGTATCAAGTCTTTTAGAGATGCAGGTATTTGGCCACCTAACTATGAAAAGATTCAAGAGAAGGTTGCTATATATGCAAAACCAGAAGTTTTAGAAACACCACAACGCGCATTTCAAGCAAGTTATGATCTTTCAACATGGAGTCAAACATTTGATAAGATCCTTAGTTCACCGTCACGGCAAAAGTGGGCATCTTCTTATACTGAAATCCAAACTCAGTTAACAGAGGCTGAGCTGTTCCAGTCAGAGCTTGTACAAATTACTACTATTATGACTGAGCAACGACAGCGGGAAGGTTAGAAGTCGGAAATCTATTCAAAAAGGCGGTGCTATTACAGTTGAACATGCACGGCAAAGGATTTATGAGAAGAAGGTAAAGAAGCAACTTTTAGAAGAAGCACGGGAGAAAAGAGAGAGAACACGCATGGTGAACGTTGAGCGTAAGATGCAGCTCCGTGCTGGCATCGATGCACGGAAGGCAGAACGTACACGGAAAAAGGACCTACATGAATTTCAAAAAAGTAACCCAGACACGGAGCCACCAATTGGCTTACGTACAGAAATCATTGACCCGGACGTTACACAGAAGAAACGTGAGGAGGAGGAGGAGGCGGACCGACTGTTAGCCATCGAGGAGAGTGGGTACGTGAACTTTGCAGGCTTGGACTACGACATGATTCACGATGCAAGTGACGGTGGCTGTGATGATCAATCACTGCCTGACAATATTGATCCAAATCTTTTTTAATTATTTAATTCTATAACTTATATATATTTACAGCATTGTTACGTTGTCAGTCGTGTTCATGGTCGGTCGTGTCGCGTCGCGAGTCCGCTCCCGAAGTGTCCCACAATCGCTTTCGCGTCCCAGTTCGCTTTCGCCAACCGCCTCCAGGCGGTGGTTTGAGAACCAACGATTAGATGAAATAATAATATTTGTCGTAACAACAACCCTCTACGATGCCTTTGAATAGCGATCCAAGTCGAGCTAAATTCCTCAAACACCTCTTTCTTTTGTGCCTGCTTTCTATGCGTATTTAAAGTCTTCGTATGAATCGAGTGGAATTCAGGGTGTGCCTTAAGGAAGTGTTGTAACCACCGTTGCGATGGGATCGTACGATCGGGTCGCAAGTCTGCAACAGCCCATAAAACCATTGATCGGTTTGCAGGGACCCCACGCTTAAGTTGGTCATATATAAATTGACAAACTGCAGTATCTTGTTCTTGAGATAAAACTCGGTTTTGACCCCCGCGGGGAAGGAGAGGGGTAGTAATGTGTCGTCGGAGTGTCTCACGGTTGACATTAAACTTGCGGGCAACCCAAGTAATTGTATAAGTATCTGGTTGTTTCAATATATATGACCAACTTAAGCGTGGGGTCCCTGCAAACCGATCAATGGTTTTACGGGCTGTTGCAGACTTGCGACCCGATCGTACGATCCCATCGCAACGGTGGTTACAACACTTCCTTAAGGCACACCCTGAATTCCACTCGATTCATACGAAGACTTTAAATACGCATAGAAAGCAGGCACAAAAGAAAGAGGTGTTTGAGGAATTTAGCTCGACTTGGATCGCTATTCAAAGGCATCGTAGAGGGTTGTTGTTACGACAAATATTATTATTACATCTATGTATCAAAGTGGCGGTGTACATGCACATATCGCTGTCGCGTGCACAGATCGCTGTCGCCACCTACGAGCGAAGCGAGTGGGTGGAACACCGAGTACACTCTATTTAAGCCTCAAAGATTCGAATCATGACTCGAATTAGATTCGAGTCATGATTCGGCGAATACCTCAAAAATATGAATGAATCACCAAATTGCCGAATCGTATTCGGGAGGTGATTCGCCGCACACTGCAGTGCACAAATGTTTTAAAAATGAATAAATAAATAGCTGGCATTTAAATTAGACTAAGTTATGTGAACAATGTAACCACAATATTTCATGAAGAACAATAATTTAACAACGGCTACGTAGATTACCTTCTCATGATTAACAGTTTTGTATTCCAAAGCCATCATATCAAAATGTATTTATCGTTCCTTCCGTCCCTGGAATCCTACTCTTGGAAGTAGTGACGTCGGCGCTTGTAATCTTATCGGGCGCCGCTAAAAATATATGGTTTTGACAGGCCCTTCCCCAAAGCTCCAGCGCAAACCTAAGCACCTACGACCTTTCGCCCATCAATTCCTTCGTACGGGCTCAACCAACATGATGCAGCCTCTCCGCCATCTCCAACGCGCCTCTGTGCGTCCTAGCATCCATGAAATCGCCCGCTCGATCCTCTCCCCCAGCTCCCGCTGTTACTCTACCCGCCGCCCCGCGACCTCCCTCCCTACCCCACGAGCATTATCGTCACCTTCGCGCTCTCTATCCACCACACCAGTCTCAATGCATAAACCGCCATCCCGCGACCGCGGACCAGTTAGCGAAGAGAGCACACAGACCGACTTCTCCAACCTCGACGTCCTCGGCGGCACACCCGTGCCCAGCACCGCAATCGACGCGTGTCTCTGGGACGGGTTCCACCTTAATAACGGAGTGAAGATTACGAATGGGGCTGGCGTACTTCTGGTGAATGGGGAGGTGTTTTCATGGAAGCCGTGGAATGCTAATAGGGCAGAGGGAGAGGAGAACAAGAGACTGGCAAATGATAAAGGACTGTGGGAGGTTGGGGACGAGAGTTGGGGAGTTCTGGGAATGGTGTGGCCGAAACCTGGTGAGTTACCTCGAGGCTTGTGTTGTCTGAATGAGCCTGGTGCTTGGAGTTATGATGGGTGACTGACATGCCATAGACCTGTTGATCCTAGGATTGGGACCGAATATGATGCCGCTGAGTCCGGCGACGAGGAAGGCGATTAATTCACTGGGAATCCAGGTTGAGATACAAGATACGAGGAATGCGGCTGCACAGTATAACCTACTGGCCACCGAAAGAGGCCTGGGCAGTGTGGCAGCCGCTTTAGTGCCGCTAGGGTGGAGAGATGGTGTTGGTGCTGTGTCCGGGAAGGCGACCGCTGCGAAGCGTTGAATAGGAAGTCCGACCGTAAGATACGTGAACATCTCCGCTGTGGAATATATGGGATACCGTGTAAAATTTATTGAACCTCTAATATATCACTTTTCAAGTCATTGTATTGTCATGGGCCAAGGGAAAAGGCCCGAAAGAAAATACTGCTCCTGCTTCAACCTCCATAAATATGAGCTGCTTGAAAACCTTTACTAACGAATGCAGATGCCACGCCTAACCATTTTCACACCTTTCGAGCCCACAAGAGATCCCCAAATTTTCTACCAGCTATGGCATCCCATCTCGAACAACAACACCCCCCCTATCTCCACCCAACGCCAATCCTCTTCCCCCAAGCCGCATCCTCTGTTCCACATCCATATCTCCTCGCATATAGGGACCCCATATCATTCGAACACTCTACCAGCCCACAGCACTCCCCAACCCTCTGCTGCCTGATATTATTCCTACTCGGCAAGCACTGCCTCGGCATCTCGAATGGGACCTGATGGGCGTACGGTGAGGTGTAATAGAGAGGGTCGTTGATGCGCTGGAGCTGTGTGTAGAGGTCGTAGCAGTTGCTGCCGGCCCAGAGAGAGGTGTGGCCGCAAAGGTAGTGCAGTAGGTGATAGTTGCACATTGTAAGCCGTGTTTGAGCTTTCAGTGTGCTAAAGCTGTATTGGCGCCCTTGATATCAACCTGACCCCGCTCCTAACAGAGAGTATAGACGAACTCTGTATGGAATTACACTTCTAGAGCAGATCTTGCAAGCATCCAGAGCTATATTGAAAATCTATTTTCAAGCATTAATCGTGCTTTAGTCTTGGAGGGAGGGCGCACTTCCAAAACCCAAGTCAGACCAGCAGCAAAGCCTCGATTCATATGGCATTTCACCAAGGGCCGCGTGTCATCTGGACTCCAAGCCTGAAATACTCCCATCTGCTTCATAGCAAAAAAAGTACGATATGACTCCTTACACAATCATTTCCTGTTTGAAATCACTTTTGCGTTCCATATCCCTCTAAAATTGTTTCGCCTCCCCGCCCAAACCTCTTGCTGGTACCAACCAGGCAACCTTCTGGGGCGATTGCCATGGCATAGTCATACAATTGTATGGTGCTCAGAGGTTGTTTGGTACTGAGGCTGACCTGCGGAGGCAAACCAGGGGGACAGAATAAGCTTACGGGAACATTGGGATTGTATGGCGGAAAAAAGCAGAGAAAAGACAGGCTTGTGTCCTAGAAAATGAGTTATAAAGACGTGGGATCAAACTACTACGTGGTCCACAATGAGTTACTACGGGTTCGTGAAACTCTGGGATGGTTTGTGAGAAGTTTGATGGGTCTTGCACCTATTGCGATCACGTGCCCGGGCACTGTGGTGATAAAGTGTTGAGCACATATTTGGAGTTTGACGACTTGATTAACTATGGGTGATATATACCGGTAGCAGTATACAATCTACGCTGTACAGCGTACTACTAGGAACGCAGTTCCAACATAAAGTTTGGTGTTATCTGTTGTAGAAGCGGCCCCCGCCATACCCCCACGGGCTCGTAGAACCAAGCTCAGCGGCAGGACGGGCGTGGGCTTGAGCAATTCCAGCGTCAAACGGAGTGCCCATCTTGGCCTACAAATAGGTAGCGTAGGCCCCGTAGATAGCTCTTTAATCCAGTCTATTCCTACTGCCTATTACTGCCTACTGTAGTATACTATAATTATTCCTATTCCAGTGAAGCGTTACTGTACGCACCCAAAAGTGAGAACTCAGTTTGGCTGTGAGATATTACCCGATTACCAGCCAAGATCACGAGTTCCTCAACGGGCGTACGGCCGCATTTGCAATAGGTTATGAGCCCGGATGCCATCAGGAGTTATATTATATTATACTACATATATATAACGTGGTTTATCAGTACGTCGGACATATCAGTACCTCGGACACTTTTCCCGAATTTCCTACCCTCTAACTTAACAACGCGTTTTTTTCCACCTTTTATTATGTCAGTGATTACCCAAGAAGCAAAAATCATTCTAGATATCGAGGCTATCCGAACACCAAAAAATCTAAGTCAGGACTAGAAGAACCAGTCGTACGACCCTGGAAAAGCCCTTTAACTGTCTTAGTCTGGAGCTCTAATTGAGCAGCGTTATGAGGTGTTTCAGGTACCCAACGGTCCTGCTCAGAAGAAATAGCCACGGGCGGAGTTGGTGTCCGTAACTGAGTATTTAGCTTCTCGAGTACCTGTGTAGGGTTGTATGGAACTAAACCTGTAGCTGCGAACCCATTACGGACTGTATTAACAGTCATAGACTCCTCACGGGCTGAAATGTAAGCCATAAGGAAATCTGGTTTGTCGATATGGTTGACCCCAGCCCGCATATATTCCTCAATTTGTTGTCTGTACGATCGCTTTAAAACTGCAAAACAGCTAACATCTAGTGGCTGTAAAAGATGTGACGAATGCGGTGGCATACAGAGCGTAATAATCAAGTGCTCTGAGCAGAATAAGTCGAACTCTGGAGTAGAATTGCTTCCGTGTCCGTCAATGATAATAAGTCAGTATACCCTTTTCGTACGGTCCTTTGTATGCTTCTGAAAGACGTCCGTAAGCCAGGTAAGGCCTAGAGAGTCGTCCGTCCACCCTTTATTACTACTCCAATTGTCCAATCCAAAGGTAAGGTATCTGTATACCAAGTTGATATGTGAACCTTACCCTGAAAAATAACCATTGGCGGTAGGCTCCATCCGTACGACGATATTGACTCGATAACTGTAACCCATTCGCGATTCCCTGGCTGTACGCAAAGTGGCCTGCCAGCTCTTTCAGAACCCGTAACAACCTTTGCATTGTAATAACCCCCATTTGAAATCCAATCTCGTCAAAGTTATATATATCCTCCTCTTGGATCCCATATTTAGCAATTGTATTTTGTACAAGCCAAAACCAGTTCCGAATAATCGTAGGATCTTCGCATTTTGCCCGCTGAAGTCGTATTTACGGGTATATTTGGATTGTAGGGAGTCATGTCGTCGTACAAAGTTATAAACCCAGCGCTGGCCAACTGTAAGCACATTGTCTTGAACCGCATCTGACCGTTTTTGAAGTAGTAGATTTGCCATTTGTCATATAGAAGTAGCTCAAAGTGGTAGGCCTCGTTTCTCCATAGATAATATCCATTGAACGAGTGTTAACTCTTCTAGATCCGTGAGCTTTGTGTTTGTAGGCCGTAAATCGCGTCGCGAGGGCCATCCTTTAACGCGTGATCGTAATGTCAATTCAGGGATATCGTACGTGTTTGCAGCACCCCTAATACTTGTAAAATGGCCATTTTTGTAGGCCTGGAGTGCTAGAGTCATCTGACCCTCTTTGCGGATCGGTTGGAGGTCAATTAGTGGAGGCATATTGATTTTAAGGAATATAGGTCGTAGAATTGGTGGGGAGTGCGCAGCTCGCATGCATGCGCAGCTCGCTTGTCAAGTACGTTATATGCTTTATAAATAATCATGATTATGATTACGACTACATAATCATGATTATAATTGATTTTCTAACCCTGACTTGTAGGTTTGAGGAGGAGATTTCTAAGTTTGCTCTTGAGTTTGATAGCAAACTGACTGCAACGAATGTCAGTATGACAATGAGCTAGGGACCTAGATCCCTAAAGAGAAGCCCCTGAGTTTTTTAGGGTCTTAGCTACATCTGCCTAGCTGACAGATTTCGGCCCTATAGAGGTAGCTGCTAGTAAGGGCTGGCTTCTAAGGCAGGTAGGGGTGTAGTTAGAAGTTTCTGCTATAGAGAGACAGTGAGAAAGCTAACTACCTTGTTGTAGAGGTCGTGAGTGAAAGTGCAATGCTCTAAGAGCTTGTAAGAGGACACAAACTTGTCTACTGTGCTAGCGAAATCATACATAACTATACGCTATATCCTAGAGTCCCTTTTAATGGCATTAAGTTGGCCACTAATGGCTGCTGTTGCTTTGTGACTGTTAGGCGTGCTTTCACCTAAGCTAAGGTGTGGAGGAGGCATAGTATTGGTACTAAGTGTCTTCTGCTGTCTCTTAGAAGTGCAGTTGAGGTTAGATGGTGATTGTGGTTCCTAGGGGCGAGTAAAAGTGCTGTCTTAGGGGCCTAGATCTGGCCGTTAGGGAGTTGAGGCCTCCATCACCACCTAGGGGTGCTCGAAAGGAGCAGAAATGGATGTAGATGGGAGTTATAATGCGTAATTGACTAGAAGTAGAGCCCTTAGGGTCTAGGGGGAAAAGTTGTGAGCAATTTGTCAATTTGAGAAAATAGTTGTAGGTGAGCCGGAGCCTGATGCGAAAATGTGAATTTAAGCTAATCTCAAAAGTAGGATATAATACGGATTGTAGTCTGTAACTCGACTACATGAAGAAAGTCTGCTCTGTTAAACACCAGCGCTTTCGGAGGATCCCTACAACCTCACGTCCCGTTGATAAGATAAATGCCCAGAGCATTAGAAAGTACTGATAAAGCAGTCAAACCTTGAATAAATCATGTCGTCCGAAGATATACCAGCAGCTAACATGTTCAGTAGACATAACCCAGTGAAACATTATTCCAACTACCCCTCTTTTCCCACCGCTAAAGCACCAACATTCTCTATCTTCTACCAACTTAATGCAACGAACGAAGAGTTAGCATTTAGATAATTAATACTTAATACCCGAAGTTGTAACTATAAACATTACCCTATTAGCTAAATAGGTTTGGAAACGCAACGTTGTTCATGCTAGCAAGCTAGATCGGGCGTCTGCCGTGCGCAGGAAATATTCTTCCTCCAATTATCCAGAACCATAGCTAGAATCATAGCCAGAAAGTAGGCACAGCTAATCGCTATCACAGGGAGATGCAAATTAATTATAGCAACGTATGTCATCCATTTCCGTCCGCGCTTCATGAAGACGACATTAGCGTAAGCTATGGAGTGGAAAGGCTGCGCAAAGCAGCAAACCGGCCTCGACCCCCTCTGTTTTAGCCACTCCCACCTCCTCGCATCCACCTACCGCCGCGCCATCCCCCGCTCCAACGACCCCCCCTCCACCCCCGCCGCCAAGCCAGCAAACTCGACGCCGAATCTCCTCCGCCTCCTACTCCACCCACGCCGCCGCGGAAACCGACTCGCATCGCTCCTCCGGCCCGCCTGCCTGCCCAGCGCCGCACGCCCCGGGAAAGCACATCACGCACGCGCCGCTAGTCCTGCCATCGGCGTGTCGCGCTCGTCGTCGCCAGCAGAAGCGCAGTGGACTTGGGACACCGAGTAGGGCGCGTGTTGTGTCAAATTCGCCGCTGAGGGCGTCGGAGGCTGCTGGTGCGGCGTCGATGTTCCGTGAGGATGGGGCTGCGTGGGAGGCCATGGGGAGTGCGAGTCAGTCTGCTGCGTGGGATTTTTGACGCGGAGGGTGGTGGATACTGGGAGCTTTGCGCCGAGGACAGGGCCCCCCCCCAAATCTTTTCGGATAACGTGCAAGAACCATGAACATAAACACAGAAGAAAAAAAGATACTAATATTACCCTATCCTATCCCTATCCCCATTCAAACAACGCACACAGTTAAACAAAAATGCATATAGCATACTCCCAAAAAAAAACCCCACAACTAAAGCTCCTGTCATTACCCCTCTTCCATTTTCGAACCCCCCATTTCCAACAAAAAAAAATAGACTATGTACCATCCCCCTCACACACTCTCTCTCTCTCGCCTCACAGCAACCCCATCCCCAAAACCACACACCCCGCCACCAGCGCCGACAGCACGCTATACGTCGGCCCCCCAACGGCACTACTCAGATTAGCCTGCAGCCCCTGCGAAAAGCCCGTCGTCGTGCTATCCGCGCCATCCACCGCCGTCCCCGACCCATCCTGCCCATCCCCATGCGACGTCGTCGATCCATTCTCATCTGGATGCCCATCGGTCCCCGGCCCCGCCCCATCCATGCCCGGCATAACCGCCACGCCCGAGCTCGCGGACGGGTCGGCGCTGCTCCCCGCTTTGGGGTAGTTGGCGTTCATGTCCGTGCCGGTGCCGAGGAGGGACTTGAGGACGGTGGGCTTGTCGCCGTCGACGACGGTGTCGTTAGTGCCTAGCTTGTTATTGTAGGTGTACGAGGTCCGCTTGTTAGTGCCGGGGGCGGTGTTGGCATTGAAGCACTCGATGCTCACGCTCTCGAATTGGGCGTAGTAGTACCCGTTGGACTGGATGTCGGGGCCGGCCCAGTCGATCACGCCGCCGGCCCAGTCGATGGTGCCTTTGGCGTTGGAGGCGAGGCCGCCGGGCCAGATGGAGATTTGCACGCGCGCGGGGGTCTGGGGGAAGGCCCATTGGTTGGAGGTTGAGTTCCAGGTGTCCTTGCGGAGCTTGGTGCGGCCGACTTGGCCGTCGACGAGCCAGGTGATGGAGTCGGGCGTCCAACGGATCTCGTACTCGTGGTAGTTGTTGAAGGTGTCAGAGAGGGAGATGTTGCCTCCTTCTTTGTCTGGTGGGGGTTAGGATTAGGTCGAGTGTGGTGGGTTATGTCGGAGACTTACAGTTCGTGATACCCTGGTAATAATAATTCGTCTGCGCCGTCTTGAGATCAACACCAACATACTCATAATCAATCTCATCCTTAACATCCGACAGCAGAATAAACGCCGTCACCACCCCCTTCCCCCTCCCCGTCTTAAACCTCGCCTTCACATTCCCATACCACATATACCTCGACGTCGCGAGCACCGTGCCCACCGTACTCGGCGCCATCGTCAGCAGCAGCGAATTCTTGTACGGCACCGCGTGCCCATCCATCACCCAGTCCGTCTTGGACGGGTCGCCCAGGTACTTGGTTTTCGAGGTGATCCCCGTCATGTCCTTGAATGCGTATGTCTTGTCCTGGCACACCGGCGCCGGCACGCACGAGTCGAGGACGAAGGAGGAGAGGGGGTCGCAGCCGCCGAGGCAGTAGGCGCCCTTGCCGCACTCGCCGTATTCTGTGGGTGGCCAGTCAGTCATGGTTGGGTTATTCCGGGAAGTAAGTAAGAAGACTTGCGGGAGCAGCAGGGCTGGGATTCGGGGCAGTGGTTATCCAGATCGCACTTCGTCGCGGCGTGCACGGTAGCGATGGCCGCGAAGGCGGCGAGGAGGAGTGAGGAGCGGACCATGATGTATTATGTCGTAGAGTTCCGCGGCGATTAGTTGTATATATATGTATGTATGAGAAAAGTGTCGCTTCGTCCCTCGCAAAATCGAATTCGGAAGCAGTCCAATTTATCCGTCGTCAAAAACCGGTCCTCAGAGACGTCGAGCAGCAAACGGAGTCCCTTGACCCTTGAGATATATGTGAACCCCCAACCAGCTTCGAACGCGAAATGTAGTGTTCGCGTTTTCGTGTCCTGGTCGTCGGTCTTCAGTTCCCTTTCAGTCTTCTTCCTATCCCGTATCCCTCACTTTTTACACCTCTCTCTTCTCACGGAAATCCAAAAATTACGGCCGTATAAAACGGACAAGGCACTAACGAGTGTCGAGCCACAAACGAGCGTACTGGCAGATTAGTATATATAAAAACGAGAGACGCTGGCGACGAAGCCGGTGAGATTTCTCGTCGTCGTCGGGTATTGTGGGATGGAGAAAAGGAAGAGGAGAGGAGAGGTAACTTAGTGGGTAATCCGTAATCCGGTAAACCGTGCACGTGCACGCTGGGTCGCGTTAGTTAGTAGCACGAGAATAGTTAATTTGCGCAGAGACGTGATACCAAGGGAGGTGCATGTGATGAGAAGGCTTGGGGGGCTTGGGGCGTACCTTCTACCTCTTCTCATCTCATCTCAGCTCCCTCCCCAAGTCTGAAGTCTGCCTTACCAAAGAAAGAATCCCATTCCTCCCCCATCGCGTGTGTAACTCTTCACTTTCCCCTTGCCCTCACCGCCGTCATGCACCCATTTTACAATCCTTCCTCGCTAAATTAAACATAACACGCCCCCTGTAGCGCCTCCGTACTAAAAGGACCCTTCGTCTCTACCCCCAACCCCCCCCACATCTTGACATTCGACAGCCGAATCGTCCAACCAGCGCTCAGCGGTCGCCCCGTTTCTTGTTCCGCCCTAAAAATGTAAAAAATGGCAATCGACCGGCCGCCCGCTGTAATTCCGACAATTTTTTACCGTTAACTTACTGGTGTTTTGCAGACAAGATGCCATAAGACAACACCCACCGACGACGACAGACAAAGACACCATGCCCGCCCACCTGCACAACAGCCTTGCATACATGCAGGTCATCCCAACTCCCCAAGACACACGATCGTCGGGTTGGTAGTTGGTAGTTGGTAGTTGTAGTTGGTATGGGTAGTTGTCGTGGGTAGTGGGTAGTTGTCGTGGGTAGTGGGTAGTTGGTAGTTGGTAGTTGTAGTGGGTAGTGAGTAGTTGTCGTGGGTAGTGGGTAGTGGGTAGTGGGTTGTTGTGCTCTGTAAAAGTAAAAGGGCGTCGTAGTAAACGTAGTTAGTTAGTAAACACACCAGTACTGTACTGTACTGTACCTCCACCCGCGGCTAGTGCTGTGGTATGGGTGGTAGTAGTAGTAGTAGTCCGTGTACACTGCGTTACAGCGCTGGTACAAAGCTAGTGCGCGTGAGGTACTGGGGAGTTACTCGGAGGAGGAGGGCCGGGGGGAAGTTTACAATAGCTGTACTCCGTACTAACGCTGCTGTACGTACTTGCGGCGGTTGATCGACGCCGTCCAAGCTTCTCTGATAGCTCGAGAGGAGCTTGGGGATGTATAGAGGGGGAGAGATGTGATTGAGGGACCCTCCATGGCGATGGGGTGTACCCCGCCATCGACCACGACGGCTTGGTTCAACATCAATCTCCAACTTGACGAAAATGCGTGTTGACGCCGAGATCCCCAGGTAGGAGGACTTCACGACACTTCGTATGGAAGGCGTGAATGGCAGGCAGGACTTGTCCATAGCGGCTTTCCAACTACCAAAATTATTAAATTTCACCCAGATTAAAACGAAGGGAAAATAAATAAATCACATCATTAAAAAGCCCACCACCGCCATCATCAGAAAATAAAGGTTCATCAAAAAATTAGGCACACAGGAGGGTTAGTAAAAAGAGCTTCTCTCAAAAGAAGAAAGTTTCGTTTTCTCAAAATCCTCCCATTTGCATTCCGCATTTCCCTTATCAAAATATCCCTCATTCCCCCACCACCATTCAGCCACCCAACCTATCCCTAACCACCCAACAAACTCAAATCGTTCCAACAAGAAGTATAAAAGAATCCCCCTTCCCTTCCTTTCCCCCCATCAATTCTGCCTGCCTTCCTCAATTCCTCCATCCACCTAACGAACTAACTGCCAACACGAAGACGCAAATAACGAAAACAAGTCAAATAAAAAAGATCTCCCTCCCTCCCTTCCATCCCATCCTCCCCCATTTTTGCAAAGTTGTTGTTGTCGTCGTTCCCCAAAAAAATGAAAAGGGGTGAGAAAAAAAAATTGAACAATGGAATAATAGAAAAAACCAAATTTCCGGCGCCGAGAATAACAATTTCCGAGTAAAAAGGTGTGACGTGTGTGTTTGTGAATCGAGGGGTCCAAGTCGAAAGAAGAAAAATGATTCGATTACAACGGGATGGTCCTTTTGATACGCGGGGGATGAAAAAGGGGGCGTGGCTTTGGAGGGCGTGGGCGAGATGGTGTGTGTATATATAGCGTCCGACGGAGGGGAAATTAAGTCTTGTTCCCGAAATGCTCCTTGGCGTATTGCTCGCATGCCTGGATGGGTATGTTAGTTTCTGGTTCTCGCTCTCCCGCTCGTGATGCGGGGTATTGAGGGGTGTGAAGAGTGAAGTGACATCCACAGAGACAAACATACCTTTGCAGGCTTCCCGACCTTCTGTCCGATGACCTTCCACTTGTTGGTCTCGTATTCCTTGATTGCGTTCAAGAGCGCGGCGCTCTGCTATTAAGTCAGCGCCAGGGTTACGTGCGAGTGGGGGGATATGGGCATCTACCTCGTCCTCGGCAAACTCCGCATAATGCATGTCCTGTAACGACGTCAGTTCTGGGGGTTCTCAAAAACACACGCTCCCGGGAGCGTGCAGGGCAAACGGGTGGAGGACAAACCTTGTACCAATGCTTCTTGACACTGCCCTCTGTCCGGCTGGGGAAGGTCTGTGAAACGGAGTCAGCCACATATATCAGAAAAACCGCCAATTGCTCGCCACGGCGCAGGAAATCCGTACCTTTGCAATCTCAGCCCAGCTGTTGCCCGCCTCACGCATGTTCTTGAGGCGCTGCTCCTCGGCGGCGGTCCAGGGGGTGTTGGTGCGGCTCTTCTTGGCCGGGGGCTGCATGGGCGCCGGGACGGCGTTCATGGGCGACTGTTCCTCCATGACCGCGGTGGGCGGGGGCTGGAGGGGCATGTTGGGGCTCTGCTGCGGCGGGATGAGCGGGGCCTGGAGGCGGCGCTTGCGGGCGGCCGAGGCGGACAGGTGCTCAGGCGGGGGGAGGAGCTGCTGGTGCTGCTGGGCCTGTTGTTGCTGTTGCTGCTGCTGTTGTTGCTGCTGCTGCTGCTGTTGCTGATATGGGTTGCCCATGCCCTGGGGCTGCGGGTAGCCCATCTGACCCGTCGGGTCGAAGTCCATACGCTTCGACATGGAGTGGCTGTAGGCGTCCGGTATGGTGTATTGGGGAAGTATCGGGTAGGTGTGTTGAGGTACACCGGACGTGCGGTGAGGCCGCGTCGGTGTCTGGCGCGCGAGGTTTGGTTGAGTCTATACAAACACATCGTGTAAGTACATTGAATACCAAATACCAGATGCCACATACCATCTGCCATATGGCGAGGTACAAAGGTACCAGGCCATAAGGTGAGGTCAATGGGGGAGGGTGAGGATGAGGAGGGAAGGTACGACGGGTACTTACGATTTCGTGTTGGCGATGTTTGGAGGATGCGTTATTCGGCAGAGCCAAGCCGATGTTGCTCATTTCTCTCTATTGTTTCTGTTACCATCCGAGTTTGAAAGAAGGAAGAGTTTGATGTTTTGTCAAACGCGACAGTCGGCCGAGTCAATTGTGAGCGGGTCTTTGTGACTGAAGCTGGAGTGAGTTGCGTCGCTTTGCGTCGACTTTCACTCTCTTGTATGGCAAAAGAGCGACGCGACTGCAGCAACGAGGAGGCACAGCGTGTGGGGGAGGGGCTGGAAGGTGAAGTGCAGAATGAATATGAGGAAAGGCACGTACGGTTGTTAAAGGTGAAATGGAGGTACTTGACCGGTTATAAAGATGGAAAAGAGGCCAAAGGTCACTTTGGCGCGTGGTGGTGGTTGAGTGACAAGGAGTGAGTTGTTAAGTGCAAGAGGTTGTCGTTGGTAGAGCGCGTCGAGTGAGGAGAGTGAGGAGAGTGAGTAGAGCGAGTAGAGTGAGTAGAGTGAGTAGAGTGAGTAAGAGTGAGTAGAGAGGTATAGTAGGTAGTAGTAGTAGTAGAATAGTAGGAAGTAAAGAAGTAGAGGATGTAGAGATGTAGAGTTTGTAGAGTTGCAGGAGCGAGGTATAGTGGTGGTATATTTGGGTGGATCAGGTGGTACTGTGTCGGAGGGGAGTACAGCAAGTTCAGGGCCTGTATGTTATGTTGGTGTAGTGGTGGCTGAGGTGGTGTAGTAGTTGTATCTGTATTCGGGGGTTGGTAGGTGGTGAAATGGAGATGCCTGTATAGAACGGATGGATGACGACTTCTGGAGCTTTGAGGCAAGCTTAGAAGGGTAGAAGGATAGAAGGGATGATGGAACGAAGATGAATTAATCCGTGGCTGGTGGATTGTAGATGATTGATTGATGCGAAGAGTTGCAAGTATTGGATTGTATGGATGGAAGTATGAGCAAGGTCAAGAAAGGTAGAGCAGAGTAGAAGGTGCACTAGAGCCAAAGGAAGGTAGTAGGAATTGGGACTAGTGGGAGAAATGGATTGGGGCGGGGGGAAAGGGATGTGTGGAAAAGGAAGAAAAGAGTCCATGGTACGGAAGTACGGAGGTGTACGGGGGGTACATGTTGTTGGGACCGGGTAGCACGAAGAGGGCAGGGTTAGAGGAGGGTTGTCGGAAGTAGAGGTACACACGGCAAGGGGTGTGTGGTGGTAGTGGTGGCTCTCCCCCGATGGACCGGCGGATGGGATGGCGGAACTCAGTCTGTTGATGGACGGCTCGGCGACTCGGTCTCGGCAAAGCGAAAGAAAGGCAAAAAAAATCCCCAAACCAGGCGGGGCGGGCGCTAGTGCAGTGGGTGTCTTCCCTTCTTCCCTCTTCCCTCTCTTCTTCCCTCTCTTCTTCCCTCTTCCCTCTCTATCCTTCCGTCCTTGCACACCATAACTTACACCATACACCATATTCTACACGCATACTCTACTCTGCTGCCACACTGGTCTACTCTACTCACCACACACACAAAGTACCACCACACACACAAAGTACCTCACCGTACCACACCAAGCCCCAACCGACCCTCCCCCCTTGGCCGTACCACCCACCGTACCATCCATCCACACTCTACCACCCACGCAGCGCGCTCGCTCCTGCTTGGCTCGTGTATCTGCCAGCAGAGAGATACACGGGGACTACTTCCCTTCCCGGCCCCCCGTCCAACGACAGAAGCGGTACATGCTGGGGTAGACGGTGAGGATCGCCATCGCAAAATCGCAATCGTTGGACTAAGTATACCTCGTCGTCGTCAGCACGCGCGTGCCCAGACGCGATATCAATCGTACCTCGCGCGTCAACAGCAGCCTTCCCTCACAAAACTCAACAGACAAACTCAACGCCGCCACATCAAGAAACGCGAAGGCGAAGGCCGAAAACACGGCAGACCACCCACCACAAACCCGCCACAAACCCGCCACAACACCTCCACCGGGAGGCCGACCTTCCCGAGCACTCGACCTTCCCTTCCCTTCCAACCCATCCAACCCATGTCCGGCGTCCCTCCTCCCAGCCATAGCTACGTCAATATTGACTCCTCCCCTTCCCCATGCAGCCGCGTGCGCCAATCTAATCTCCCCCAGCCACCTCGGCGTGTACGTCCTCTCTCTTTTGCGTGTGTGGAGGGTGTTGGTCGGCGGCGTGTCGGCGCGGGAGGAGGGATGCGGCGTGTGGTTGTGTGTGGTGTTGGGTGGTGCAGATACCGAGGAGCGGCTGGTGCTAAACGGCTCATACGAAACGCGTACGTACATACATTCCTTCCTACCTGCCTGTTGGCCCATCCCATCCCGTCAAATCGACCGTTGATGGACCGATAGAATTGAGGGGTGGGGTTGATTAAACTGATATGGCTGGCACTGGCACACCACGATGGTATACGGAGAGTACAGGATTGTACAGCGCTGTACACGATCGCTACATCCCCCTCCCACCAAGGCAGGCTGTATCCCCCGAGTACCTGCTGAGTGAGCACTGCACTGTAAACGGTCTGTCTCGCAATCGCGACCATCACTTTTGGCTGATTGCGGGGTAGTGTGGGTAGTGTAGTGGTGGTCGTCGCCGTACTCTCTCTCTCCCTGGTGCTGCACTATTACTACAGTATATACTATAACTTACTCCGTGCAATCGTGTGTGTATCCATATCCCATATCCCAGTTCTCACCCACAATCACACTTAATCACAATCCATCCATCCCGCCCGCTGCCATCACCACAAACTCTATCCCAACTCCTCCCCAACCACCTCCAGCCCAACCCGTCCGGATTTGCCTCCTCCCTCAACACCCACCCCCCCCCACCCCCCCCTTTGCTGCCACACACAGCACACGCGAGCATACTCGCATATCTGGTTCGTCATGTGTTTGTGCCTGTGCTCTGGTTTCTCTATCCCCCTCTCCCTTTTCGGAGCCCGGAAAACTCACACACACCCACACAGACGATTCTCCGGACCCCTCCGCCCCCACTTAGAACGTACGTAGAACGTCAACTTCAGGGCTGGCCCAACCGGATTTATATATCAGTGGGTATTCGCTAGTGGTCACCCACCTAACTACTAATCCTAAAAAAATGAGCTTGCTCCTATTAGTCAAGTCCCGTGGTTTATAGTCGTTTGTGGTAAAATGTACTATGGGACAATAGTAAATAACAAACAGCACTTAGAACATAGCACTTCTTAATGGTGATAAAAGAGTGTATTAGATATATTATCTTGTTAGCCTTACAGACCAGCTCTATCTATATAAAGAGCCAGTCATAGCCTAAGTGGCCGACACTAAATATCCACTGTGGTGAGGGTAGCTCTCCATTATCCTCCCGTGTCCAGTATTCTTGCAAGATTTTAGAGGCATTGACCGAATTCAAGCAATTTGTATCGGCCCAAAATTGCGCTAAGCAGCTAGTTAGAAAATCCCTTTGGGCTTCCAACCGACACCCTAGGCCGGCAATGAAAATAGGCCAAAGGATACACTTTAACAAAATTCCGTCGTCCTTTAGTGCTTCAATAACACTTAGTAATGCACACACCAAATCATCTTGCGACATAACATTATTCATGAGAGCACCAAGTACACGCCTGCCATATATAAGAGAGCCTAGTTGAAATGATTGTGACAACTTGCAAAGCTTCCTTATTAGCATACAATGTGATTTTTAACTAGAGTAGTTTGCAAAGAGCATCAGTTAGGTTGTGAGGCATTTAAGAAACCTAAGGGTTAGCGTCTCTAAAGGGGGGTCTAGTAGGCAGTGTTGCTAGTAGTTCAAACAGTTCAGTTCAGTTCAAATTTAAGGCTGAACTGAATGCCCCGCAATATGAGAATTCATGAACTGAACTTAATGCCCCACTTTATGCTATTGAACTGAACTGAACTGAACTGGACTGAACGAACGCCAGTTCATTTAAAACTACTTTGCTGTCATCTAGGAATCTTCAAGCCAAGTAGTGCAATGGCTTCTAAGCCAGCTCTTAGACATTCTAATGCCTTAATGGTCTCTACGCCTAGCCTATTTCTTCTCTCTGTAACTGTAATTCCTGCACCTGAAAACAGACGTTCTGGCTCTGCTGACATAGCTGGTATTGACAATATATCAAATGCCATAACTGATAGATTTGGATACATTGCACACTGTGTAGGCTCCATCCACCAAGTGATAGAATCCACCTTAACGGGACAACAAACCCTTTGGCAATATCATGAATATTCATCAACTATAGGTGCTTGTCTTGCTTTCTCAGCCTCTACTTTGCAAACCTAGTCTTTGGCGTTAGCTGAAGTATTAGAAGGATCACTTCTGTACTCTTATATTAAGATTGCCAAAAGTCCTGTAGTGTCTTCTTTGCATCCGCCACCTAGTTAGAGTCCTAGTTGTCTTCAAAATAGCTCCATTTCTGACTTGTAATGAGAATTATTACTGCAATGTAGACAGGGCTTCGATCTGTAAGGCTATAGTACTTATCTAACTTTGCCTAGCTAGAGTTAATACAAGGAATCATAAAAGAATCTAAAGAATAAGTTGTCTTGCCATCTTCAAGCTTCTCTAATAGATAATCCATAGATGGCAGGACTCTTTCCAAAGTGGCACTATGGCCTTCTGTAGCTCTTAGCTTCATAAAAGTCTCCAAGAAACCCATGAATGTTACTTAAATTAGCCTAATCAGAACTAGACAATACATCGTCTACTAAATCACCTCCTGCTTGAAAGCAATATAGGTCGATAGCAGGCTTAACGTCTTCATGAAGAGCTGAAGTTATCATTTCAAACTAAGAGTTCCACCGTGTCTTATTGTCTCGAAGTAGTCGACGTCCTTGACTGAGTTTCTGAAAAGCTAAGCGTCGTTGTAGAGACTTTTAAATATAAACTACAATATTATGTAACTTTCCAAGAGGGCCTTTTCGATGCCAAGTCTCCATTTCCAGCTGTGTAGGAATATGCAAAGAACTTAGGTTGTTTGTCTCTAAAAGAACTTATCTTCAGTTGAGAAAAGAAAAGCTTGAGCTGCAAGATTGATAATGTGGCCATTGCAGCGAAGACAGTATTGCTTTCCATTATATGGAATATGGCACTCCTCTAAAGCTATACTGATGTTAGTATTAATAGTATAAATATAGGAGAGAGTACTAACAAGCTGAAAGACTCTGCATCATTGTCTTGTTGTTTTCTGCATTATCCATCATAAAATACCCAACTTTGTTTGCAATACCAGACTCATCAATTACTTTTAGAATGAGCTGTGATTGGTTTGCCCCTATATGCTGACCTTATAATTCTCGTAGTGCTAGAACTGACTGTTGAAGCTGACCATCTTCAGCAAAGTAATGTGCTATTATTCCGAGTAGAGCGAGGGAGTTTGTTGACGTCCATAAATCAACTGTGAAATGAACCTTTGAAATAGCCCCATAAACGGCTTGTTGTACTTGCCGTTTCTCTACATGAAAGGACTCTATAGTCCAGTTATGCACAGTTTCATGATTAGCTATAAGTGCACTCTCAGCTTCTAGGTTTAGAAACATAAGAAGCTCTTGGAATTCTGGCCTTTCTGACATTCATAGAGGAAGAGAACAGCATGCAATCCATCGTATAAAGAGCTGTTGAAAAGTTGCAATATCAAAAGACTTGTGAACTTAAGACGCTTTATATAAAGCAAGACCTCTTGACCTCATTTAAAAGCTTCTGCAATTGACATGGTTTGTGCAAGCAACTTAGTCTCTTCCTATGGATCCGTAATAGAGCGATACTTCAACAAGTGCTTCTTTGGGCCTCTTGTGTCATACTGACATTCGTTGCACTCAGTTTGCTATCAACTCAAGAGCAAACTTAGAAATCTCCTCCTCAAAACTACAAGTCACTATACATATTTTGGCTTATCACGCCAACAACAAGAGCAATACTACTCAATGATTGCTACAACCGTCTA